GCACTGGACGCGTCTCGGACCATGGTATGTCACGCAGGAAGCGTTGGGCAGGGGCGTCACCCGCGGCGGGAGCTTAGGGTTTTGACCAATTGCTTCAGGTGTGTAATCAGCGTGGCCTGTCCAATCTGTCCTGCCTTGGTCCTGCCCTGATAGTGCGGCCGTTGGAATCCTTCGTGATAGCGACGGCTTCTTTTATGTTTTGAGTTTGTAGGCGAGGGTTTTTGATCCGGACGGCCGAGTTTTCCCTTGCACCCGTTGTTGTATGAGTAACTTAAGTAGATCTGGAGTATCCATTCCCCACTGATGGTTTGTCAATAGCTTGACGAACCGGGGAGGGTGTTCGTGTGTCTGGATACGAGCATGGTAGATCTGCTAGCAGCACGGGGGGGGTACGTAGACAGGATCATGCGTATGCCTGAAAAAGGCTACTATGTGTGGGCCCCCTTCCCCGAATTCGGGAGGGCCACTTCTTCCCTTCCTTTCCTCGCTCCCGCGGGTGCCTAATCAGAGAGAGTTACAGCGTGTCTTCTCCTCCCAAGTACGGACATACCAACATTATTGTCTGTGGTAGATGTGTCGGTCAACTGAAGGTTCAGTCAGCCACCGTGCGCTACTTCTGCTCTTGCGGGTTACAGCAGTTGCTGTTCAAACGAGCAAAGGTATCCAGGGGACAGCGTCGCTATGGCCTTGCATCCCACTCTTGGCGAAAGGAATTCAGTACTTTAGACCCGTGACGGCTCAAAGTGCAAGCACTTTCTCGGTCGTTTGACTAGGATTTGGTGAGGGCATGCATGTTTCCCATGAACAAGGTTCGCCAGCGAACGCACCGCCATTGGTCGACCCTTGTCGCTGGGGGCTACCAATAATGACAACACGAACGTCTTTAGGTGGGCCGGGGATCGGTGGGCTACCGCAGCGACGACGCCCGACCGTGCATGGTATTCTTAGATTCGCTCGGTAGCATGGATCATCATTCCGCAGACATCCATGAATGCCTGCTCAGGTGAGAGCGAGCGAGATATTGAGAGGGAGAGAGGGAGGGCGAGAGAGAGAGAGAGAGAGAGAGAGAGAGAGAGAGA